TATTTGTGGTTTGGTTGACTCTCCTGAAGCTGCAGCATCTACATTTCACTTCCCTGAATGATAGCCGGCTGAGTCAGCCGACTCGTTCGTGGTATCTGCGTGACCGTATGCAACACAGTTCTAGGAAAACATCAGTGGACAGAACAGTGTTTGTTCGTACGTGAGTGGGTCCGATTTACAGTGCATCCGATTTACATGGCATGTAGTGCTGTGAAAATCAGATATCAGCTTTTTCTTTATTTTGTGTTTGGTCCACACGTTGCTATGAATCCAGATTCGATGAATAAGCAAACTGCTAAGTGGTCAACGCGTGGCGAAGGCGTGAAAAAAGTATGAATGGGTTTTCATCAGAGGGGTGTTCAAATTCTCTACGGCACAAGCATGGCCAGTTGCATTGCAACTGATGCCGCACCCGATGTTCGCAAGTCAGCTCCCCGAGTCTAGGCAGGCTGACCGGGCCGGTCATAAGGACCAAACAAACTTGGCCAGCGCAACTTCAAAACCGAACGGGTCCGCGGAACTCAGTTCGTCTCACTGCCATTAGAAATTTATATTGGCATTACTCCAAATCCTGATAACATAAAACTATGCGGTCCCCAGAAATATTCACTTCTGCGGTTAAGATGGAATTTAGCAGGAATTTTCCCTGAAATGGCGGATTAAATTTTTTGATAAATTGATCACAATCTTGTGGGTAATAATTGGCAAGAGTCTTGTCTTTATCCGCTGATAAGATTTCTTGCTCAATGTTGGCATTTTGTTGTGCTGTGGTCCGTTGCTGTGTGTCGGTTTACCACGTGATCCCCCATTGGTGTGAACGCTCGCCGAAGAAGTGCTTCCCCTAGGTGTTTGTTTAACCGGTCACGGACGCTGCACGCAAAGAGAGAGCGTCCTAGTAAGTATTTCTGAGCAGAGCTTTCAGGAAATCTCCCATCTAAAGCAAATCATTTTCTAAGCTGGATGGGTTGGGGTCTCTAGCGTTTGAAGCGCAAGAGATGTAGAACGTTTTTCGAATAGTATTGCACGTGTCAGGCACGAAAGTATCGTACTTAACATGGACTTAAAACTGGGACCAGAAGCTGACACTACCCCACAGCCGTAAAACCGTCCGGCCGCACGGGAGCACAGCCTTGCGTGCCAGCTCGCCAAAGGTACGAGGGGTTGCACATGTACATAACTGATTTGCTTTAGCTTTCTGCAACTTCTTCTAAACCATAATGTCGCGTTACAGTCGAAAGTGTGCGGCACAAGCGGCACACCTTACCCCGAGTTCTCGGTATCCATTCTCGCGGAAAAGTGGACTTCTGTCGGACTGCGCTTGCTTATCTGTCCTGAGGCAGCGTTGTGCGAGCGCACAAACAGGTCAATGTCGCCGCACCATCGCACGCTTTGTGCGGTCATGGGTAGCGTGGGCTAGAAGTCTAAGTTTGTAGTCTATGGCGATCAGCGCTAGAGACCCAAGCGTGTCCAACTGGGAGCATGACTGACCTGTGTTTATGGACTGAAACGAGAATGCACCCGGAAGACTGTGGCATATAAAATGTCTTGTAACCTCTGTACAAAGATGCCTTATGTCGAAGAAACCGGTTTCAAATCATGACATTTAAGGCTACTTTTAATGAACACACTGAAAAGGCACATTTACGGAGCGCGTACACACCACTAGGGTGGTGCATGGTAGACGGACAGCCTGCAATAGAGTACAGCGCAACAGACATCATCCTTAAAATGAGTGTTTCGAGTCATTCTTCGACCGGACAGGATTACCGGAGCTCTCCCTTCTTTCTAACATATGTCGCATGCATGAAATATTGCGTAATGCGCTGCTGCACGTGTGTGTTTTTCTGCTAACGAGACCTAACATGTTTTTTTTTTCGCAGCCAGTGGCGCTGAAGTCACCATTACCGCGGATAAAAACGGCAGAACCGCTTAGTGGACATCTGCCGGCCACTACGCGAACTACTGGGATATTTCGTGCAGATGGCGTTAGCAGCCCGAATCGCACTGGTGAACGCGAGCGTTGCTTGTGCCGACACCGAGCTTCTCTGATTGGGATATCTTTGTGGACGGATAAACACTCTGTACCTTGTCATGAGGAACTGGGCTCCTATTGCGCACGAAAAAATATGTATCATCATCGCGTAGCTGTATCGAGGTCGCACAGCAGCGTCAGCTATAAACGTCGAGTTCGGGGTGGCAAGCGTTCCATTTTCAGTGGACGCTTCGCTTTCGCCAGCTGTGTATAGCGGTGCAATAGCAGCGAATGATGGAGGTATTCACGATAAGGATTCGGCCCGTCCGACTGTCGCTTTAAGCCCTTTTTGTCCTAAGCTTAATCCGTACTAGCACTTCTCAAACATTATCCAGGTGCTTGAACTCGTACAGAGGCGATACTTGCTGTGTGCTAGACAATTGGTATCTGCAAGGCGCAGCGCTTCCTTGGTATGTCAAATTTATATAGTCAGTTCGCGTGTAGACCATCTCGGAAATGCGTTTTTATCGCCACGTTTCGCAGACCATGTAGGGCTGGGGTGCAGTGTCACAGGTGCAGCTTTGTCTGGATTAGGGTGTCCTTGCCTCGCTCGTCCATCCCATCAATCCTTGCCTTGGCCACTCAATGCTGAGCCAAAACAATTCAAAACCCGGCAAAAACCCGTGCCTTCCTCCTTCTCCGTTTCCTAATGGGCGTTACCCTCGCTGATCGATCTTGGCGTGCACGTATGGTCTTGTCGCCGACCGTAACCATTGTCTCCAGGGCTCTAAAGTGAGCCGGGTGCCCCGTGTTGGGTCAGCCAGCGCTCACACCGCGTGCCCAAGGGGCCGTAGCGTGCCAATCGGTCAGCGGCGGCGGCGACTTGAGCATGGGTCTGCTTTCCGCCTGTTCGTGCAGCCCAGAGCGCTTACGTTTCGGGCAGCACCATGCTCGTCAACGCTTCTCGAAAGTGCTTGAGATTTCAGCAAGTTGACCGAGGCTCCGACGCACGTGTCAGGTTTTGTGCACCACACTGACTTCAAGGCGGGGTTCAAATTCGACCATGTTTATGCCTAGGCTCCGATGAAACATTAAGCTGTTGTTCAGGAAAGATGATCTGCGCGGGTATCCTACGGCTGAGGAGACCTGATCACATGCATGCTTGGCGTGCTTGATAATGAAAGATATTAATTTCGCTACCTTATTCTGTTGCTCAGCGTAGTAGTCAGTTATGAACTGGAAGACGCTTGCTGGGACGCTCTTCGTCGGCAGGATGCGTCACATGACATGCCTTTCCCGGAATGCTGAGAGCCAGCGTCATTTTGAGTTGCAACAGCTGATGAAAATAGCAGTGGAGATCATTTCCTGCACGTGTTAGCCGTTTCTGAATGGAGATGGTCCATGCAGAATAATCCGGAATTGAAATAATCCGCAGCCGAGGCCTCCGCAAGGGGATCCCAAACTGCGCCAACGCCCAGAGGTGCGGCGAGGAAGAACAAACAAGAGCAATGACCTTGGTGCCCTGCTTGAAGGTGATCCAACATCTCTGGGTAGCGTTTCTGTGTTGCCACAGAAGATGTCACGACTTGGAAGCAGAACTGCACGCTTCATCTCGTCGGCTATATTACCCCTCAATCACGGCTATCTTACCTCTCAAGGAACCGAGTGCTAACTTAAACATGACACGGATAAATCAGATTAGTTACGATTACTGATCGAAAGCTAAGTCCATGTCAGGAGCACATGAAACACAGCGATGATGTTCCAGCATATGCTTTTTGTCTGTCGTCTTAGGCAGTCATGTATGTGTGGCGAAACGATACTTTCCGACTGGGAAACCTTCGGATTATGCGGAAAAAATGATGTGATAAACCTTGTTTCTGTTGGGAAAACAGGACATAATATTCATTTACATTCAATTCCAACGGCCAACAAATATTGCTAGAAAAAGAAAGAACTTCGCGGTGCCTTCCTACTCAAGGAAGAAACCTCTAAGCTCCTGCTCTTTCGTCGCTACGAATTGAGAATCAGTATGCTCAAAGCGATCAGTATTTAATAAAACAGGAGGAGGGGTTCAACGACACTTTCCAGACACCATCTGTTATGCAGGGAAAGTTTGGTATTTCAAAACTGTGCCCATGATGGCCATGAGTGATAAATTCAGGGAATCATATCGTTTAAAATCAATCACGTGAAGTAAGGAGAACACTCAGAACACGCAAGGAAATGCCGTTAAGAAGATCTTCGAATCACGGATATCCCAGGCTCACACATTCCTTTGCCCAATACACGGTACTTTGCTAAGGGACATGAAACACAGACGGTTAAGCCGAACGGTTCTGCTGAACTATACCTGGAATATTGTCAGGAAATCACTCTCCATGAACGTCAGGTATGACGCATGGGAGATTTCACGAACGTCCCAAACACCCGCTGCATGATGCTCGGCTATGCGATCCCCGAAGTGGAGGCGGCTGAGCCAAAAGGCTTAGATGAGCTGCAACAAGTACAGGAAAAGGGAGAAGGCTAGGAACATGAAAAGGATTCTACTGGATGTGAAAGAAGCTTAGCAGCTGGCGTCAACCCTGCGGCAAAAGACCCATTTATGAACGTGCATAATCTAAACGAAGACGTTGTTCAAGCCAAGCCTCAGGGCGACAATTTTGCCTTCAGCGTCAGGCGGCAATTGATCCAATCGCCACAGATGTCAACTCAAAGTAGAGATACTAGCCAGCAGCAGCAAAAGCCAATGCCTCGAACATCAAGACATCAAGATACTTGAACAGCCGCGTACTTTATCCAAGGCTCTTTCCTTCTTTCGTTCTCCAATCTTGATCTCAACAAATAATCCGACTGTTTATCTTAGTCCGATCTGTGCGACTTTATTTGACGCGCGTGATGGTGCGTGGTGGAACGCAGTGCAATTGCTTCGTGTAGAGTCGTCTTACTCCGGCCGTGAAGGATAGCACTGTGCTGCCACGTTAGAGATAGACACCCACTCGATGTGAAAGTCACCCATTACACTATC